GGGAGTGTGATATTGTGTCTATGTAGATATGTGAGTTATATACAGTGAGTTATATACAGTTACAATCAAAAGTATTCACCCCTATTGAAAATCAGCTTTATTGTCAAAATGTACAGATTTTTTAGCTGTTTGCAATGAACAAATCAAACAAAAGCAATTGAAATAGTTAACCATGATGAATGCTTTAAGTGGTTTACCCAAATTCAACTGAAAATGCAACTTATAATCAGCTTCTGGCAGCATTCCTAAGGAATCTAAGCCCATTACTCATGAGCAATGGTCTCGAATTCAGTAATATTCTTGGGTTTGTTAGCTGCAACCACCTTCTTCAAATCCCACCAGAGATTTTCTACGGGGTTCAAGTCAGGTGAGTCTGTGAAATTTCCAGGACTTCTTCTGCAACCAAGCTTCGGTAGAATTTGAGTTATGTTTCGAATCATTGTCTAGTTGGAAGGTCCAATGATCCCCAAGCTTCAGCTTCCTCACAGATGGCATGGCATTTTGTCCTAGGATTTACTGATACTTCAATTAATCCATTTTGCCTTCCTGAAACACACTGCTGGTTTCAAGTGCCAGGGAATGCAAAGCAGACTCAGAGAATCACCTAGCCACCACATTGCCTAAATGTAGGCAGAGTGTTCTTTTCTGCACGTTTCATTCTTCATACAGCTGACTTTTCCTATGCAAGCAAGAGCCGCGCACGCATTCAAACATTTCTCAATGCTTTCCTATGGACATTCAGCACGCTGGATGCTAATTTCGCATCCAGTGTCGCAGAAGCGTCTCTAGCAGCTGTCAGGAACACAGCCACTAGAGGTTTGATTAACCCTGCAATGTAAACATAGCAGTTTCTCTGAAACTGCTATGTTTACATCTGAAGGGTTAAAACCTGGGGGACCTCGCACCCAGACCACTTCATTGAGCTGAAGTGGTCTGGGTGACTATAGTGTCCCTTTAAGTTTTTCAGCAATTTTGTGCTTCTGTGCGATCGGATTAGACAGCTAGCCTTCGCTCCCCACATGCATCAAGAAGTGTTAGCTCATGACCTTGACACCACTTGTCCTACCTTTCACTACTTTTGGTAGGTATTAACCACAGCATATTGGGAAATAAACTAAAAAAACCTAAATACTCTTTTTCCCACCCAATTATTAAGGGATCTAAAAATGTTTCTTATATCTTTACTATTGAGATTTGTGTCACTTTTCAAGATATCAAGCATTTAAAAAAATTATGTAGGATTATTTATGCAAATATAATTATTAGGCGCCAGTGAGGGTCATTTGGTGACTCAAGAGGTACTCAATGCTCCTAACCAGTTCACATCTAACTCTAGCGGTGCTCACTGAACTTAACCAGTTCACTTGTTTTATTTCAGGTCAATTACTATTTCAGTTTAAACTTACCCAAGCTCCCACAGCCTATCATGTTCCCAGACTGCTGAGTTTTTTTGCTGAGATCACCTGTTGACATTTGAGCTCCTGAGTTATTCTGAACAAATATTACATTTAGTTAATGCCTTTCATAATCTTGTCTGACCATTCCAAAGCTGCTACATAAAATGTCTATTACATCACCAAGAATGCAATCATACAGAATAACAGCAACTGTGGAGAAAATTGGTGTTCCCGGCATTTCCAGCACCTCCATTGACTTCTGGGTTTGGCCAGTGCATGCGTGATGACACCAGACATCACACCCGTCGCGTGTGACGTCATCACGTTCCGTTGCTAGGAAACGGAACGACAAACAGGAATATATTGGTTTAACTCTGCAGTGTAGGACATTAAAAAGGCTAAAAAAACTAGCAAATTATGCAGCAAGTCATAATCTATTAACAAAATTTTATACAAATGTATAGATGCGTGATGATCAAAATGAGGAATTAAAAAATCCATACATCTAGAAAAATAGATAAGGGAACATAGTTTGCATTAGAATGAGGCAAAAGATAGAGTAGGGAAAAAAATCTAAATCCCCCAAAAAAGAGTGAACACACAAATAAAATCAATAAGGTAAATAAGTCAAACACCCTCTTAGACAAGAGATGGTGTACAGTGTGCCCTAAGAGATAGAACTCTAGAAAGAAACTGATTGTGGACATATTAGTAAGGAATCATGCATATAAGTATACATACCCAGATCCAGGAGACTTCCCAAACCGGGCACATGTCGAGTGCACCTACAGGAACCAGTGCCACTCAAGTTTCTCATTGAGACCATAAGGAGACACTGTGTCCAGGAGGCGCATCCAGCGAACTTCTTTTTGAAGAAGCATCTTTTCCCTGTTACCTCCTCTCGTGAGCGGGGAAACCCTATAA